CAGTTGGCTCGATCAAAGGCCTCAACATCGTCACAGGCATGTTCGTAGCCGAGTTACACAACCACTACAAGGACGCCGCCACTTCTGTCCTACCCGCACCCATCCCCGCACTTATGATAATCTGTGGCATGTTCATGGCGGGATTCCCTCAAGATTCGGCCAACAACACACGCTGGTCGCACACAATGGCGACAATCATGCACAGTCTGACAGCCGACAAGACGGATATCCGACGATACTGGGACCACCTCGGCGCTGCCTTCGTCCTCCTCGGAATCTTCTTCTCGCGAAACGCCCGTAAACTCCTCACATCACCTGTTTTCAACTTCCTCGGTCGCGTCAGTTTCCCTGTGTACTTGCTGCACAACACATTCATCAAGTCTGTGCTTACCTGGATGATCTACCTACCCTCTGCAATGAACCCGCCCAGGAACGAAAAGGGAGAGCAACAGGATCTCCAGCGTGGATCGACGACACATATCCTCATTGCGATTGCGGTTTTCTACTACATCCTTTACCGGAGTGCAGCACTCTGGGTTAAGCACGTTGACCCGATATTCGCGACCATGGTCAACGCAGCCACAAAATGGGCATATGGCGAGCCACAACAGAAGGAAAGCCGCCCAATACTAGGGAACGGGAACGCGACGACTGACAAGAGCGTCCTCCCTTCATAAAGCAGACACCCTGCTGCTCTTTCTTCACTTCATTCTTGTTGATCACTTTCGGAGCTGGAGCCGTCTCCTCCTATCACTATATCCGATGATTTTTTTTTTAGTTTCATATCATCTCATATGTTTCCAAATGCATCTTCCATATTGCATGTGTTGTGTTTTTTGAGCGAGCGACCATGGTATGCCAGCTTGGACGTTTTGGAGTATGCAGAGGACATGCTTGTCTTGTGAGAGGAATCTTTTTTTTTTTTTTGAAAAGGGTCGAGGAGTAAGACAAATACTTTGGTAGATGAAATGAACACATGAAATCTCATTTTTGGACTCGACATGCCACTCGAGGGCTTCTTTTTGAGATGTTCGAGATCGCTTGGTATCTGCTACATGATGGTTCTGCCCTACGCTTTTGGAATCAGAACCACGTAGTATCCGCCTCATGTCGTTAATGTTGAGCTTCGTGAATGGAAAGAAACCCAAGTCTCCGCCGAACCATGTTCCGAATCTATAGCAGCTTTGGTCCATAAAAGTATAATTCTGCGTTTTCTATCTTCTACGTCATTGTGGAAGTGATTTGAGGAAGAAGAGATGGGTCAGAGAGAAAGTTTATGTATACTTGGTAGTTGGCGCTAGTGCGTTTTTGTGTTGGCGCCGAAGGGGTTAGCTGGAGCGTGTCATGCTTCAACCCTTAGGAGACATACTTCGAGCGGAGAGGCATGGGGTTTGGCGACGACAAGGGGTGAAGGGGCGGTCATAGGTGTATCTGTGTTTTGACATACTAGATACACCACCATGTCTATTCCGCTGTCGCCTTGCTGATGTTCTGTGAATACCTCCTGGGTACCTTATAAGAAGACATTACTCTGAGCGACTTCAAGCTGTATGCGGTAAATCGAAGTCACATCCAAGTTCTACAGGTCGAGTCATTGCGCTAAGAAGGTCTTCAAGTAGGCCAGATAAATGACCCATCGGCGCTTAAGTACCTGGAAAGCCATGTGTGGCGCGGTAACAGGACCATGGCACGGGGATGCGGCGTGGTAGTCGAACAGTATATATAGGCCATGTTAACTGTGCCTCTTCAGGGCGAGCAAAGACACGACCACAAAATAGGCCGACAACAAGGTTTTGCCCTGGAGCAACTGTTTTGCGATGGGTCCAATAGAGTCAGAATAATGTCAAAGAGACACTGTCTGATTGAGGGCCTAAATGGGCTGTGCATCGCTCAGTCACCAATACCTTTTGCGCGATGAGGGAATTGATGCTCACCGGCGGACTGCAAAGAGATTTCACGCGACGATAGGGAATACGCGGGGTTTAACGATGACTGCCAGCGATATAATGGCGCAGCCAAATACCTCACGAGCGATACATTGACCGGTGCGGACCGGAGTATGAACGTACGGAATGCGAAGACAACATGCGCCGAGGACATACGCCGAGTACGCAGTACCGCCGTGGCGCCTCGCTTGCGGGATAGACAGCTGGGCGATTTACACAACGAAGCCGCACAAAAGACAGAAGGAACAGCCTGCGACTGTGCCGTGAAGAACAAACAGCCTCCACCAACTCCCGACTGCGATGCCTCACAATGTTTCCGTGCCATCGCGCTTACACGTCGGAAATAACTCACATCGGAAAAGCACCAACTCACCAGCCTCGTTGAGGCCTTTCGAACCAACCCGTATTGGCCATATCCGCAGCCGAGCATTCGCCACAAAAATCCACTTACAGGGCTGAATCCTATCCCCGGAGGGACGCACACGTTGCCCGATCCATGAGGCGCATGATATTGCCGAGATGGCTGAATTGGTTGGCTTATCGAACGGCCAAATCGCTGACGTCGGACATCTTGGGCGTGCGCTCTGTATGGCCCGTTTACATATATCGAGTGTGCCTTGAGGGTGATTTGCACGTCACGAGTAGACTGGTAGGGTGTGCACTGGGCTTGGGTCCCGACTTAGCCGAGTGCGGGAGGCCTTGGACATGGTGTTGTGTGTGACGTGAGTTCTCGAACGATGTTGCGCAACAAACTTCAGAAATGCGCGCTGCGAATGTATGCGATCAATGAAGGTGAAATCACCTGTCGCTCGATATAGAGAAGCCTGGTAAGTCTTGTATCAGGTAATAATGGAATGCGCATTCCTTCCTGTCAGCAACACTGTCTTTCTCGTTGCTTGCGGTGGTGAGATCAGAAGCGTGGCACAGCCCCAAGAAGTGGCCAGACACTAGCGTACAAGGGCCAGGGATCGAGCTAAGCTAGCTTCCCCGCTCACAAGATGCATGGTCCTGTGAATGTGCAGTTGCCGTGGTGCATATAAGCCAACTACACCCCGACGCTTGTAAACAATGTCACACACGCATTCCTCTACGATCGCCGAGTCTACATCTTCTTCGTCGAGGCCTATTCTACACGATAACAATTCAACTAACGAACAACGTGCTACCGCGACTATGAGCGACATCAACGGAAAGGCGCCTGTCAATGGCAGCAATGGGGCACAGCGTGGTGATGAGCCGATTATCAAGGTTCAACCTCCCCGACGAGAGGATCTTCAGCCCAGCTATGCGAGGGTTATCCAGCCTGATGATGCCGATGCTGATACGAATGGATGGTACGGTGGTATGGTAAGTTGAGCAGACATCATATATCCTGTGTGCCATTCTCACATAAGTAGATCAACACGCTAGGTGGCTGTATCGGTACTCTTGGTGCTATTCCATGCTGCGTCGTATGCCCCAACCCCTACAAGCCAGTCAACCAAGGAAACGTCGGTCTCGTCACCAAGTTCGGCCGATTCGCTCGCGCTGTCGATCCCGGTCTCGTTTACGTGAACCCACTATCCGAGCAACTCGTGCAAGTCGACATCAAGATCCAGATCGTCGAAGTCCCCAAGCAAGTCTGCATGACCAAGGACAACGTCTCCTTGCAATTGACATCTGTCATCTACTACCGCATTACTTCGCCTCACAAGGCTGCTTTCTCCATTTCCAACATCCGCCAGGCACTCGTTGAGCGTACGCAGACGACACTTCGCCATGTTGTTGGTGCGCGCGTGCTCCAGGACGTGATTGAGCGTCGTGAGGAGATTGCTCAGTCGATCCGTGAGATCATCGAGGAAACGGCTCTCGGATGGGGTGTTGAGGTCGAGTCTATGCTTGTCAAGGACATCATCTTTAGCCAGGATCTTCAGGATTCGCTCTCCATGGCTGCGCAGAGCAAGCGTACCGGAGAAGCCAAGGTCATTGCTGCGCGCGCAGAGGTCGAGGCCGCCAAGTTGATGCGTCAAGCTGCCGACATTCTATCCTCCGCTCCAGCTATGCAGATCAGATACCTCGAAGCCATGCAAGCCATGGCCAAGAGTGCGAACAGCAAGGTCATCTTCTTACCAGGTTAGTCTTTTTTTACTCATTATATATGAAACATTTACTGACTTGATAAAGCACAAAACCAAACTGTCCAAAGCGCCCTCGCTCAGGCCGACTCCTACGGCGAAGGCCCAAGTTCTCACGGCGCCAGCAACCCAATGGGTGTTCAGAGTTCCGCAGCACAGGAGTACGGTGGTAACAGCCATGGCTTCCAGAGCGCTATCAACTCGCACGTCATCGAGAACATGTAAAGCAACGACTTAGAGCCCCTGGGAGATGCTCAGCTCGCCAAGGCTCTCACGCAGACCTTTCGAAGATGTGGTGAAGACCTTCACACTCCTGTATAGGGGTGTGTGTCTTTGTCCGCTACTTCTTTGTATCTCTATTACTATTCTTGTTTCTGTTTTGGTATACGACTACTACGGATGAGACGATGGGCGAGTCTAGATTGACACGAGGGAGTTTCTTTGGTTTTGCAATTGTTTTGATACCCTCTTCCTGGTAGTTGGTCATTATCGGTTCACTCGCTTGTTGCTCTGATAGACAGTTTTATGATAATGATAATGCCGATTTACAAACATCTATGAACATATAATATTGGTTCTTGGCAGTGGTGGTGTTGAGAATGGTGGCGGAACCGCTCTGCATCCTACCAGGACACACCGCTGTAGCATCTTACCTAGGTAGGTAACCGAATCATCGCCTACTTCTCTGCTAACGCCACATCAAGCTCTCACCGGTCAGCTTTTACATGCATGGCATGTAACCAATCCAGAGTCAGCACGTCGCTTGGCTTTGGCAGTAGGCACCCACGAGGCTGAATCGCTAAGCCCCGCTTTCCACTCACATGTGTGAAGACTACCTGTCCTACCCATCAGCTTGAAGGTTTGCCTACCCTCTTTTCCGTTTCGCTCTCGCGACTGCCACCGTACCTCTTCGCTTGCAGACATCCCGACGTCACTACCGATGGAGGCCCTCTCCGGGGCTGCCAGCGGCATAGCCGTGGTTTCGCTGGCAATACAACTCATCCAGTCCGTCGCACTCATACGAGAGTTCATAAAAGACGTCAAAGGCGCGTCGAAAGAGCTGCACCGGCTCGTGGGCAAATTGGAGCTGCTTAACGCGTTGCTAGAGAATGTGCAAAAGGTTCTGGAGCAACAGTCATCTCTCTCAGGAACGCACTTCCCAGCACCTTCGATGGCAATCTTCAATTGTCTTCAAGGCTGCGAAGATTCTATACAGCCGCTTGTGAATATCGTAAAGAAACTCAGTCTGCCGCAATCCCAGTCCGGCTCATCCACAGCTAGGCTTAAGAGCGAGATCAAGCTTGGATTGAAGACAAAGGAAATCGCTACTCTTGAGACTCGAATACAACATGACATCGATCTTCTTACTAATAGCCTTTCGATAAACCAGAGCGGCATCTTGTAAGGCCCTGTTCTAAAATTTGCAGGCTTCGCGAGCTAATTGAGCGCTGACAGGATGAATCTGCTCCCAGTATTACTTCAAAATCAAGAAAAAATGCTGAATAGCAATAACAATCCTGCTATAGCATCTCTTTCATGTTCAGGTCTGGGACTCACTGCCACAACTCTCGATACTGTGTCTTCGGTTGCGCCATCCTCCGTCCGATATACACAGCATATAGTATCGGTACGCTCTGCGTTTGAAAGACTTGGGGTCTACCGTCGCAAAGTCACACGTTACCAGGACCAGAGAATCCAAGACCTGAAAGGCAACGTCAAAACCTATACAAGAGACATACTTTCGACAGCCGAGGAAATCTCTGCGTTGTTAGCGTTCTCGGGCTTCGGCCTGACTTTCACCCAGCAGTATCCATACGGCGGTATCTTTCCCAGCCTCAAAACGTATCTTGTGGGTAGACTGAGTGGCGAGATACGTGAAATCATAAGATGCGGAAGTGTTCAACAATTCCAAGAAGAAGTCAGTTCTGGCGCTGTTCATCCGTTTATGCGAGAGGTCAACGGATGGTCTTTACTTCACGTAAGTCGTACCTGTAAAAGTTATACGTGTTTATTTAATATACAATATAGCATGCTGCTTTCCACCACAGATCGGATATATGCCGACTACTCCTTGGATACGGCGTGAAACCGGAACTCTCGTTATACGACCAGTCACCTCTATCAATAGCATTGAACATCCATCAACCATATTGGTCTTTCGCCACTCCAACCCCCGCCAATTCGATCGATACATATCGATGTTTTCTTGACTACGTAGATCTGTTTCACGAACTCAAGAGATTAGACGTTAAATGGTGGTCCCTCGCTTGCTTTAAAGGTGAAGAGGCTCAATGGCTTTGGCAAAAAAGCCTAGAGCTATTTATAGGCGCAGATCTTCGAAGTAACCAACGGGTGATAATCCGACGATCTTGGTCCAGTGTTGCTAAAGGGGACCATCCCTTATGGCACAAATCCCAGTTTCCCGTCTTCCTGATGGACAGGGACATCCTCAGCGATATCCAGTATGGGCGTTGTCGAATAATCGAAGGTATGTTTCTATCATGGTGGGATTCCATGTTTAGCTACATCGCCGGTGCTCGGTTTTTGGATTGGCTTGTCAGTTTGGGCTTAGACCCCGAATTATGTGTGGCTAGTGAACTAGCGGATTCCGTGAAGATTTCAGGGCATTTCGACAAGAGGATTGTGTTCGAACGCAACTGGGAGCATAAATGGGTTCTGGGTTTCGAATGGGTTTTCGATCACGAAGCACCTGGCTACCTCCTGTTCTCAGAGTACACTGTTATAGTTGTCGAAACCATCTCCTACCATAACGAATGGCCCTTTTGCGAATGGGTACATGAGACCGAACGGAAACGGGACGATCGTAGTGCGCATTTCAGCCGTCGCATGGCTGCCAAGGAACGCAAAGAGCGCGCACGTTTAGGCCAAAAACAGCCGCGAAGCCGGATGCCAGGAGCATGGAAATGGTGAGAAATATGTACGCTGCTATCTAATAACTGAAAATATACTACACTGCCTTGCTTTCCGACACCAAGAATTCTACATGCATTGTGACATCAACTATCGGGTTGTGTTGCGACAAGAAGATCCCCAGATGCTTCCTCAATTACAGTGGAATAAGCGTGTCCCAAGCTTTTGCAGTTGATGCGTGAGCTGTTTTTTTCAGATAGTGGCTGAACAGCAAGACCTTGTCGTGATGTGCAATGGCACAGCGTTACCTAGGTGCGCGATCGACAAAGCATTGGCATGAATACGATTATCGTATACCAAGCGCATGGAACCGGAGTTGCCGCATGCAGAGCCTTGGTGACTTCGTCGTCAGCTGCTTACAGCTGTGCGTTTTCAGAGAATAAACTGCTGGAGAGGAGGATCACTCTTTGTTCACCTAAGTACATTCTCCTGTTTTCATCCATTCTGCTCGCACAACCTACCTAGGAACCAACCCAGAAATCGTATTATTCTTCATTCCACTTCTCAAGGTAGCTCTTTCCAGGTCGTTCGCTACCTTGAACTACTCTGTCTCTTCTGCTACTTCAGTCTGAGAAGACGACGCCGCAGGGCAAGTTACCCGAAACCTCGCCATCGAAAACACCTTCCTCTCTTCCCGCAAACTTGCCTCCACCCTCAAGCTCAACCTCAAATCCATCAACACTTCCCCCAGCAGATTCCTTCCAGGCCAAGGCTCAATATGTGCGGTCGCTGCAACCCTGTCCAACCCAATACCCAAGAACGCGTCATCTGGATCTGCCATAACAAGCTCTCGATGTCCCGTAGCGATGAGCTTCTGTGCAAGCATCTGTGCATGTTCTGAAACCGTAAACTTCAGACACGCTGCAAGCATGATAACTCGATACGCCACTGCCGCCATTGATTAGTTGTCTATATCAAATCTAGTGTTTCCATAACTCACATGTCGTCGCCCAGCTACGTGACCAGAAGGGGTTATTGGCTTCGATGTGCTTGCCTATAGCCCTTTGTTCTTGAGGATCTGTCGCGCTCACTATGGCCTCATATAGCCCACTGTCGTCCTCGAACCATAATGCTTTTTTTGCTTGGAAGAACTGCTCACTGCAATTGTATTCAGTGTTCTCGTGTTGGAAGGAACCAAGGAACGCTGGACTGAGAAAGCCATTGCTCTGATTGCTCTCGAAGGAGAAGAAGACTGGTCCTTCGTCTGCTTCACATTCAGGCTCCATCTTCGTGTATATTGTGTTGATCCCTGGTGGAAACGGGCGAGTATGAGGCGAGGTAGCGGAAAGAAGTTTGGATCTCGAAAGAAGACTGAATTATGTAGAGGACATGGGCGCCTCGCTTCTAGCGCGCACGAATAGTGTCCACCTTCACCTGCTTCAATATCAGGGGTGAGAGAGAGAGAGGGATAGTCTTTCGCGACCAAGTGCGTGTGCACGATATAATGAAGTCTAACAGATGCAATCCCGCCAATGATACCAAACTCCTTAACGTATATACACCGAATGCAATATCGTACATCACCGCAGTGCCTCCACTCTAACCGCAGCTCTCTCCCTCTCTCTCTACTCACTATACTTCTTCTCTCGTCCTCACACCACTCTACTTCAAAATGCTAGCCCCCCTCCTATCCTTCTTCAACGGACTAAACGTAAACGCCTCCTCACTCATCATATTGAACCCGCCACTAATCGGCCTGGACTGTTTCCCCATACCACCACTCTTACTCAACGCCCTCGCAGCAAAAAGACCTTTACTAAGTCCCACCGGTTTCAAGCTGGGCAGCACACCAGCATCCTCTGCATCATCCCCTTCCCCCTCGGTATCGAAAAGCGTCTTGCCCGCCGTAGCCCCCAATTTCCGCTTCTTCTTCTTTTCGGCAGCCGGTTCTTCGGTAAAAGTGGCAAAGGACATGAGGGATTTGCGAGGCTTCATCATTTTGCTGTTGGATTTCTTCGAGGGCCCATCCGAGTCCTTGGTTGCTACTTTCTGTGGTGCTGCGTTTTCAGGCGCGTCTTCGGTTTCTTCTGATACCATTTCGAGAGCTGGGTTGACGGTGGCGGCGGCGGCGGCATTCTTCTTATTGCGGGGTTTTGCATTCGCTTTGCTCGACGCGGATGGAGCCAGGGCTTTAGGCTTTGGTTGCTTGAGAGCTTTCTTGGGCGGTGCCGTTGGTGTGGCATGTTCTTGCATCGAATCCTCGACCTCTTGCTCAGCTTCGTCATCCTCTTCCTCCTCGACAATGGGACTACCAAGTGCAATGCTAGACGTCTTGTTCAAAAAGGGCGTGAGAGAGAATGTCGATGTGTCGCCAACAGCTGTGACAGAAGTGGCGCGCTTCGCTTTCTTCGCAGGGAATCCGTCACCAGGCGTACCTAGCATAGTCTCTGGTTCAGCCGTAGCAGCCATGCGTTTCCGAGCATTCTTCGCGGGCTTGGTGGCAGGAGGCGCCATGCTCTTGGTTGGTGGCGCAGTTTGTGCTCTGTCTGCTCTCTCGAGTTCGGCCTCCTTCTCCTTGAGCTTCTCCTTTGTCGTTCGTAGCTTCTCACGGAAGGCACCAAGTTTGTCGTCAAGGACGGCGTTCTTGCCTTGGAGCTCAGCTAGAGTCTTGGTGTATTCCTTCTCTTGCTTCTTGCGCTCTCGCTTTTCCTCTTCTAGTTCTCTCCTTGTGGCTTCGGCTTGATCGTCTGGTTGTTGCGAGGACTGTGAAGCCTTCTTCGCTGTCTTCTCTGCCTTTTGACGCTCGCGCTTCTCTTGCTCTAGTTCCTGTCGAAGCTCTTCAATCTCCGTGTCGCGGGTGGCAGCATTTTTGCTGGCCTTTTCTGCTTGAATACGAGCAGCCTTTTCTTGTTCCAGTTCCTGGCGAAGTTGTTCAATCGCAGCATCTTGAGCCTCACTGTGTTTAGCAGCCTTGCTGGCTTCCTTCTTAGACAGGCTCTCAACCTTGGCTTGCAGACTTTCGGTCGCCTGTTGTTGTGACTCCAGATCGGCCTGCACCTTCTCCATAGCCTTCTCTGCCTTTGTAAGTCCTGCCTCGGCCTTCATCCGGTCCTTCTTCTCGGTTGCAAGTTGGTTGCGTGCTTCCTCTAGCTCGTTTCGGAGGTCTTCGTCTTGCTCCATCTTCTTGCCCTGCTTGGCGATTGTCCGGGCGGAAGTCCGTTTCTCGTTCTCGAGCTCTACTTGCAGCGTCGCCATCTGGCGTTGCAACGCGAGTTTCTCGGCAAGGAGGCCAGTATTGGATTCGACTTGGGCGCGTAGGTGTTCGACTTCAGGGCGTAATGATGAGATTTCGCGGGAGAGGGCGAGTTTGTCGGAGAGGATCTTGTTGGAGTCGGATGTGACGTTCTCCATAGCCTTGAGCTCGGCCTGATGGAGTGTAAGCAAGCAGTGCATTGATCGGCAAGCTGGACGTGCTTACCTTGAGATTGGCGACTTCCCGCGCCTGGGTGCGGATGGTGTTTTGCGCTGCCTCTGTCTCTGCTCGTTGCTCGTCCAACTGCGCAAGGGCCTCTTCGAGGGATGCCTCTAGCTCATCAGACCGTGCCTGCTCGTCTTCGAGTTGTTCGTGGAGATCGCTGTTGTCGTCTTGCAGGAGGCACTGGGCGACCCGCAACTTCCGGATTTCCTCGTCTTTGACTACCGCTTCGACCGAGTGCTTGCTCCGCTCGAGACTAAGTTCGAGAGTCGCGTTCCGCAGCGAGTTCTGGAGCTGAGAGGACACAAAGGGTTAGTGGAATGTCTAAGAAGAAACCAGCCGAACAGGGTCCAGCAGTCTTTTTACTTACATCTTTCATCTCGTAGTTGGTATCTATATCTGCCTCCATAGTCGCGACCATGGTATAATATCTGCTCAATGATGTGTCTGTATCTGTAGGTGTAGTGTGCATGTGCGATCGATCTGGTGGGGCCTTGGGAGGACGCGACTGAGTAAACAAACAGAGAGCAGACGCCTGTACCGAACTAGCAACACAACAGTGAAAGAATGACTCTGAATGAATACAAAACGACGCGATGGATCAAGGTTAACAAACCGAATGCATTCTCCGAGACGAACGACTTGGAGGTTTGCAGTTCCGAGTGAAGGTCCACGCCCATGTCGCGATACCCCTGCGCCTTGGCATCCATTACGCACGCCGCCGCATCTCCGGGCGAGCGCTCAAGGCCACGTTCCCAAGCTCTGGAGCTTCCGTCCAACCCACCAAGTCTCCGCAACCCCAACCATCCCACCCGCTTCCCAACAACACAATGCGGTGGCTAAACCTCCTCACGGCCTCGCTGCTGCCCTTCACAGCTCTCGCAGCCAAGAAACCAACCGGCGACCGCTTCAATGACGCCCGCGCCAAATCGCTATCCATCGGCCACCCGCTCAAGCTCGACGATGCAAGCTATGCGCAATTGACAAAGTCTCCTCGTGACTACGGCGTTGCTATACTGCTGACAGCCTTGGAGCCGCGTTTCGGTTGCATGCTGTGTCGGGATTTCCAGCCAGAGTGGGATTTGCTGGGTAAGAGTTGGATGAAAGGTGACAAGGACGGTGCGACAAGACTTGTATTCGGAACCTTGGATTTCGTAGATGGCAAGAACGTTTTCCAGTCGGTAAAACAACCCTTTCTGCTTCCCATATATCTAAATGTAGAATGTACATACTAACTCTTCGAAGATGATGCTGCAAACCGCCCCCGTCCTCCTCTACTTCCACCCCACTGTCGGCACCCACGCAAAACCAGATGCCTCACCCGTTCGCTTCGACTTTACTGCCGGTCCCCAGACCGCAGAACAAATCCACGCCTGGATCTCACGACAAGTTCCTGCTGAACTGCCCAAGCCTGCTGTCTCGCGCCCTATCAACTGGATCAAGATCATCACCGTCACCACCGTTGTTCTGGGTGGCATCACTGCTGTCTCCGTTGCATGGCCTTACTTCGTTCCCCTGCTACAGAACCGCAATCTCTGGGCTGCTGTCTCCCTTATTGCCGTCTTGCTCTTCACTTCTGGCCACATGTTCAACCACATTCGTAAGACACCATATGTTGTTGGCGATGGCAAGGGTGGTATGAGCTATTTCGCTGGTGGCTTCAGCAACCAGTATGGTCTTGAGAGCCAGATTGTTGCTGCCATCTACGGTGTACTTGCTTTCGCCGCTATTTCCCTTGCCATCAAGGTTCCTCGGATTAAGGATGCGCGTGCGCAGTCTTTTGCGGTATTCTTGTGGACCGGAGTGCTGTTTGGTATGTACAGTTTCTTGCTGAGCGTCTTCAGGTTGAAGAATGGCGGGTACCCGTTCTATCTGCCTCCTTTCTAGATGAAGGGTGATGGGTGAAGAAGAAGGATTTGTAAGGATCTCTCAATTGGTGAGAGACTAGAGTACAGAGTTGGAAACTCTTACTACCCGCAAGGGTATATCATTCCAATGGTGCCAAAGACCTGAGCTCACGGCTTGAGCTCGATGTATACTTTGTATGATAAAAAGTAAGCTGTGAAAGCGGGCGTTCATGAAGTAGATGTCAATTCAAACGTCGATATTATATATCCCACAGCTCTGTACTTAAGCTGCTGTCGGATCCAACGATACAGCACCTTTAGACCACCATGAAGGATGACTCTAGCCATATTAGCTTGAAGTACAGGCTGCAAGCAGTGGATGATAAAGAAGCATGTCATCGAAGGAAATGATTGTGTATCACATCAAGAATTCTTGGATACTACGAAGTCAAAGTATATCTGAACATGTGTTTGACGCCGCACCGCCTCACCAATCCAACATACTTCCACCACCCTTGGGCACTCGTCCACGCTAAGAATTGCAGTGCAACAAACTAAATTTACTCCGCTTCGATACACAGCAAGCGAGGCAGATCCCAGCATACACAGCCACAATCCCAGCATCTCTTCTACGCTAAAGATTGCAGTGCAACGGGGTGATGACCGTGGCGATAACCATCTATGTGTGTCTGCACTACAATCCTTGGCGCAGACCAGTAGTCCAAATACCATACGCGGCTACGCACGATACCACAGTCAGTCGTTCATACGCTGCCGGTATGACTTTTAGTCTGTAGTCTTCTCAGTATAGTCACTGCTATTCGGTGATATGTACTAAGCTAATGAGGTCACACATTCTCATCGAATTAGAGTCTCAGACAAGGTGGTAATAGTGGGAAACCTCGACACCATCTACTTCACTGATGATGCAGTAGCAAATCTCCGCATGTGACACATCATCAAGGATCAAAAATTCTAGGCTTCTCTATCAGTTAACATGGCCTCCTGTTCAAACGATCTGGTGGGGAATATAAAGGTCAGTTCTGATATCAGCTCCTCGTCCACGCTAAAGATTGCAGTGCACTCTCCTGGCATGGGTGGCCCATGACTGTTCTCGCCAATTACACGCATTCTCACTCATGCATATGGCCGAGGTCTACCTGCTCGTCCGCGCTAAAGAATGCAGTGCACGGCAGACTTTGATGAGTGCATACGCAAGGCAGACTTCAAAAACACGTAGCCACAACCTTGACTACTCGTTTGCGCTAAAGATTACAGTGCAGAACACCGCTACAACCAGGCTGCGATTCCTTCTAGCGTCCTTCCAGAGTGCACTGCAATTATTAGCGCAGACAAGCTGCTAAGGCTGCATGTGTGAACAGTTAGACGAAAAGGCTGGAGCGTGCTTGCAGTCACGGAAGCACACATCTGGTCATGATCATACCAGTCACATTTGTACTACATTAAGAAAATGCCATGATCGAGAACAAGCCAGCAGCCCCATACCCATAACCCGCTATGAAAAACATTTTGTGCCCAGAGAGATGCCCATCATAAACCCCCATACCCATTAATCATACCGAAAGGGAAAGAAACAAAGACATACAACGCCTAAGTCATAGCCAACGCATGCAAGTCAAAAACATCATTCCTCCAACCCCCCTCATCCCAATCATCAATCCTCTCCTCGGCCCTCCTCCCCTCCTCTTCCCACAGCTTAACAACACTACCGGGCGCATACTTACCCGCAAACACGCCCTTCTTGTTGGCCTCGACACCCACCCTCGTATACACGTCCGGATCATCAGCCGGCGTGAGCCTCGTAATGACCGCCTTGACAAAAGTCTTGAGATCATCCGGATCAGAAATCCTCGTCGCCCTCAATCGCTCGCGCGCAAAGAGGAGCTCGCGGTTAGCAGCATGGATGCCATCTGCGATACCCTTGGCCATTTGCCTCTCCATGACCTTGCGGACAATGGGGCGGAGGAGGGGTTTGAACAGCCAGCCGAGGATGCTGAACTTGGATTTGCGCAGCTTGTACGTGAGCTTGTGGATATGTACACGTACGGCCTTGAGGGTGAGAATCTGTTCTAGCTTCTCCTTGCCGACTTCGACGTCGAGGTGGATGTCGATGCCGCGCTCGTCCAGCTGGAAGGATGCAATGCCCTCGTCGGCGAGACGGAGAAGACCAGAATGTGCGCGGAGGAGGAAGCCGACTTCGTCAGCACGGAAAGAGAGACCGTCAATCTTGATGGTGAACTTGGATGTGGCCTTTGATGCGACGCGGAAGCGCGCCTTGCGCAGTTCAAAGTCGTTGTAGGTTTCTACTTTGAAGCGGAAAGGCAAGAAGGAGGTGTGGTTGACCGTCTTTCCGGGTTCGATGATCAAGTTCTCCAAGAGCATGTCGATCTCGGGTGTGGAGACCTCGAGGCGAGGAATAGGAATATATTGGATGGCCTGAACTGCCAGAGGAACGAACACGTTGATGGCGTCCTGAACCAGTTCGCTGTTGGTGGCTGAGTGCATGGGCGACAGGATGTTCCAGATCCTCATGGTTGTCTTCATCATCTTCGCAATGTCCTCGTCCTGTGTAACAGCCATAAAGGTTCGCTGAGCTTGCTCAAAGAACAAATCAACATCCTGGCGAAGCGACGACTCGCTTCCAACACCTTTGGCCTTCTTCCTGAGCTCCTGAAACTTCTCGTCGATGTGGTCGAAGAAATCGGGGTCAGTAAGCAGCTTCTGGAGGGAATTGCCGACGTCGGTGAGTAGATCCTCAAATTCGGGGTCCTTGCGGGAGTGCTCCAAGACCTTGTGGAAGGCATCCTCGAGTTTCTTCCATTCTTGCTTGTCGCCAAAGGAGCTTATGAAAGTCCAGAAGTTCTTGACAGCCTTGTCCATTGCTGGGTTCGTGTCGACGTCCTCTTCGAGCGTGCCCATGGCGTCTTCAACTGTGCGAGAATATGCCATGGCGTAGCGCTTCAGCAGCTGTGCCAGTACAGATACGGAGTCGTTGTAGTCCCTCTTCTGCCTCAGGTTCGTGACCGTCTTCTTCAGACGGAACAAGAGCGATTCACCCTCGTCGCCCTGTAGCTTCTCTGCTAGGCTGACGTCTGCCCTGTGAGCAACCTTGGCCACACCATTTCCAACAACCTGAGCCACCTCAGTGACCTCACCACTCAGCTCCTCGGCGGAATGTGCGAGGTTCTCATCGGCACCTGGCTCTTTAAGGGCCTTGTACTCTGCTGGCGAAGGCTCGATCTTCTTTGCAGCTTTCTTCGCCACATTCGACAGTGTAAAGGCAGAGTCTCGGAAGACTTCGCGACCGACGACGTTGAGATCAGAGAGGAAAAGGCGGAAGTCTGAGTTGGTGAGGAGTAGAGACCCGACAGTCTGAAGGCTCTGGTATGCTGTGGACGCGTTAGCGGATGACAGTCGGACACATGTGTATGCACGCACCTGCAGTAGCATCTGCCTTTGCCTTTGACCTTGTCGTCCGTCTCGCCATATCACCAACATCAACAGAGATTCTAGCCTTGGAAAGGTACCAGAGAAAGTCCTGAATCTGATCTTCGCTGTTCTTGTGGTTCATCGTGTCGATGAATTGATGAAGCCATTGTTTCGTGAATTTGACTAGCAGACGACCTGAATCGCTCAAATCGGGGTTCTCTGGATTCAGGATATCTGCAGATAGCAAGCTGCGCAAATTGATGATGAGTTGCTCGTTAGATGGCATGAAACCCATAGTAAGCGCCCTCCACATCTGGTACGAGTGGAGCTTCTGATGCACCTCACGCTGGAGCGTTGTGTCATCACGATACTATTCGTTACGGTCAGCAACCATCATTTTGTGGTTGAACGCGTGAACATACCTGTGGCAACAACGGCTGTTGATCGTCGCGTTTGCGCGACCCGAAACATGATGAGAGTGACATTGCGATGATTTCTGTCACTAATTCGCCGAGCAAAGAGCAATTGAGGTTGGTAAAACGTGGGGAGAGCTGGAGTATAGCTCGCGTTGAAGCTATTGAAGCTGTCCAAGGTTCCAGGCTCCAACTACGCGTTGGTCAGGATGACGAGGGAAGCTACGACCCACGTCATGCCGCTCGTCGATCCGCGGCCCCACAAATGCGCCAAGAACGAATGGCCGGGTGTCATGCCCCAACCTATGGTTCGCGCATCACTCTCGAAGCACGTGGTGTGTATGCACTCATGTTGTTTGCATCTGCATCGACTCTATAAGCATACAACATATCGATTTGCCATGATTATGTTCATATTCGCATGCGAAGTTGGCTGGGTGCTCTGCGATGCCGAGGCAAGTCACTCCCTAGCTCCAGGATTCGTAGGTAGTCAAGAGAAGACGCAGAAAGGCAGTGATCAAAAGCCTCATGAGATGAATGGGTTGCGCTCCGTGTAATAGATTTGGCTGTTTCGATATTTCTCCAAGCACTCAGATTGTCGTGAACAGGTTATCAACACGCTCAGGAATCTGTCGCAGCCACGCGGAGACGTCTCCGAATATCGCTGCGTCATAGTTGACATTTGACGCCAACTGAAGACCATCAGTGTGCTTTACCAAGGATCTAAGAATATACAAGCAGGTTTACAGAAGAAGTTCAACGTAGGTAACTTCGACTGACTGCTGTTCGCTGAAATTAATTGTGGTGCTGTTACAATAGCTTTCTTAGCGACCGAATGAGTGTTTGCTCTTCCCGAATGGGCATGTCGAATAGGAGATTTACAATATGCCGATAGCTATGAGCGCGCTGGTGAGTCGAAAACTGAGGCTGTCACTGTTGTGTGCAAAGTAATCCGCTCTCATGGTCTCGGATCTTTGGGTCTATTGATCCTGAAGGATGCAGCGAACACCGACTCCGATTCCGATGAGACATTATAGACTGAGAGTGCCACAGACTACGACCCACGCTAGTCTGCTCGGACCATAGGGCTTCATGCAAGCGTGGGCTTCCAGATCTGAGATGTACTGTCCTGACTCGCCCGCCAAGGCGTCAGAGAGACGGTGAGACTTGACAGGTG